GGTCATTTATGTAAATTAGGAACAAGAGTGGACCAAGAGCCGAACCTTGTGGTATACCCGTTGTCACACATAGAGGGTCAGATAAATGGGCATTCACTTGGCAATATTGTATTTGACCTGTTAAATAGGAGTTGAGCCAGCGTAATGCAGACCCCCTCATGCCATAAATTGCCAACTTACTAAGAAGGATGTCGTGATTAACAGTATCGAATGCTTTTTTTAAATCAAGAAATATCACACCATTAAGTTGGCCAATGTCCATATTCTGATACCATCTATTTGTGATATCGAGCAACGCAGTTAGAGTTGAATGGTTCGGCTTAAAGCCGTGTTGGGAATTTGCTAGTAGATTTTCCTTAATCAAATATTCATAGGTCTGGTTGTGTATTAGCTTTTCCATGATTCTTGCAACAATTGAAATAACGGATATAGGTCTATAATTGGACATGCAGAATTTTTCCCCAGATTTATAAATTGGTGTAACCCTCGCAACTTTCCAGTCAGATGGAAATATGCCAGTGCGGATTGATTGATTAGAAATTAAAGTAAGTGATGGAGCAATAGATGGTGCTGCAATTTTTAAAACTTTAGCCGAAATTTGATCCAGACCGGATGCCTTGGATATAGTTAAGTTAGAAAGCAATCTCAATATTACAGTCTCTGATACCTCTTTAAAGTGCGATAAAGTGTCAGTTGGACATTGAAAATTGGTAAAATATCTGTCGGGAGTTGACGTTGATAAGGGTATATCATTAGATAAATTATCCCCTAATTCAATGAAATATTTGTTAAACTGATTTGGGATATCCGCTTGATCAATAATTTCGTTATTTTCATTTTTAAGCTGTAGTACTTTATTGGCTTTTTTGACTTGTTAATCACCTCATTGATTATTTTCCATGTTTTCTTAATATCACCTGAATTATTATGTATCTTTTCTTGATAGTGTTGACGCATTGTACTTTTAATCAATCTATTTATAATGATTCTTCAATGATTTATAGGCTGCCCAGTCGCCGTCTAAGTTAGATAAAGTTGCCTTTCGTTTAAGATATGCTTTTTGGCGTTTATAATATTTTAACTCACGGGTTAACCAAGGTACACGTTTCCTAGACACTCTACGTTTTTTTAAGGGTGCATGTTTATTGACAATATGAAGAAATTTATTTTTCCAAGTTAACCAAGAAATGTTGGGATCTAAATGGTCTAAATTTAGGCTTGATAATGATTCCAATTCAAAAAGAAAATTGTTTTCATTAAAGTGCTTGAAATCCCGATATTCTACAACTTCTGGGGCTCCCTTGGTTGTATAAAATTTACGAATACCGTAAATTAAGTAGTGGTCACTAATAGTGATAATTCTTACCCCACTAGAAATTATTAAGTCTGGTTTTGTTGTATAAAAGTGATCAATCAAAGTTGCGTTGTCTTTTGTGACTCTTGGAGGTTCATTTATCAATTGCTCGTATTGATAAAGATTAGTGATGAAATTCATCTCAGAGACAAGATGTGAAGGATTGCTACTTAGGATATCCGAATTAACGTCACCTAAAATAATGCTTTCTTTATTTTCATTATCAATCAATTTAAGGCAATTTTCAAATTTATAAAGTGTGTCGATAGGGTCGTTTGGGGCCTATACCATGTGGTAAGTAGAAATGGCTTGCTTTTGTTTTTGGTAATTTCAATTGTTAAGATTTCAATATTAGGATCGTTAAGGTCAGATCTAAGCTGGAAATTAATTGTATCACGTATGAAAAAGCCAACACAACCACCAGATCTATTTCTGTCTTTGGAAACCCAAGTATAACCGGATAGGGATATCAATTCAATTGGTATAGTACTATCCATTCTAGTTTCGTTAATTGCGAGTACGTCAATATCATTATTATGCATTACTAGTCTCAGTTCATCAATATGTTTTAGAAGGCTAGCAATATTTGAGCTTGCCATTTTAAAGCCTCTAATTTTTGGAATTAAAGATTCATTTTCATTTGTATTCTCGCTATAGCTAGTGCTCGTAGAAGTTTGTTCATTTACTCTTGATTCCGATGACTTATCAGATAAATTGTTAATATGGCAAAGATAGTCTAAAATGCATATTTGTGATGAATATAGTCATTTGCGAAGAAAATCAATATAGTTCTTCGCTAGTATTGCTGCTCCTCTATCATTTAGGTGTAAACCAGATGCATTAAGACAATAATCGTGAGATGATTATTATTTTAATATCGCCCAACCCTAAGTGCGTTATTCTGACCCAATGCTGGGACATTTGCAACGTTTTCTCACCAAAATGACAAATGTCGACAAACTCCCCCGGAGGGCCGGGTACCCATGGAATTAATGGAGACATCAATAAGGATCATCTCGTATTGATCCTTGCAGTGTTACTTCAAGAGGAAACCTAAACTATATTAACTCCATTTGCTAGATAGTTCTATCTGTTTAAGTATTCTCCCTCGAGCTCTAGCAAGAATCGTCCCTCATTGATCCACTGTTACTCCAAAAGGAAACATTTCTTACTTGAGACCCTGTTGTAATCATTAGCTCTTACTATGCCAAGGTGACGGCTGGGAGTAGCTAGAATAACTTATTTTATTTTTACTGGATGGCTCTGTTAATTCGAAGCCCTGCATTCCTCAAAGATGTAGCAATGTCCATTGTTACTGGTTATTACTACAGTTGAACCCCTATAAGCGGACACCTCTCTTAAGCGGACATTTCTTTTAAGCGGACACGTATCTCAGGTCCCATTCGTTTTCTTTAATAAAATACTATTATCATAACCCCTATTAAGCGGACACCCCTCTTTAACGGACGCGGACACCTTACTTGAGTTGAGGTCCCAATGGGCAAACTACCTCCCTTAAGCCGACAGATGACAGATTGTCTGATAAAATGTATTCAATATTCGACAGTAAATAACAATTGAGATCAATTTACATGGCGCATTGACATGCAGTGACACACCAACTTGGAGCGAAAACATCAGAGCCAAGATTATTGAGGAAGTGACCAACGAGGACGGAGGACTGTGAGCCGGCAGCCAAGGAGCCGAAAGATATGTGTCAGATCACTGATGATGACAACGAACTGAACAAAAAATATGAAATTGACTGGTCTCTTAACGAACCAGTCATTAAATCTTCCTCCGAAGCCCCTAACGTTGTCGAGCGGCTGGCAGAATTCGCACAATTTCGAGGTTTGGAAGAACTTTCGGCTTTCCAACGTCATTTTTATGTAAATAACATCATAATGGGCTATCGTCTGCGTGAGCCTCGAAAGCAAACTTGATTTCTTTTTTATATGACTGTGAGAGACGTATACATTTTCTAATGAACTTTTATGCACAAAGAATTTTTCATTTAATGCTAATTATTTACTAGATTTTTTTACTGTTTTGATACTCAAATCACACACCTAATTACACACCTTTGCCTCCTGCTGTGTTTTCTACATACCCCTTTTAAGCGGACACCCCTTTTAAGCGGACACTAGCTGAATTCATATTAGAAGACGGATTTCCGTCTAAGATTGGAAACTCGTGTGACGGATTTCCGTCTGGTATAAGTATGAAACGAAAACCATCGGACGGATAAACCCGAAAAAATAAGAGACCCTCCATCCCAATCTCTTTTGAACGTTACGAGCCGTCTTGATTTATTCGTCTGATATAAATTTAAAACGGATTTCCGTCTAAGACGAGAAACTCGTCTAACTTTCCCGTCGTTCAGACGGGAAAGTTAGACGGAAAAGTTGAGACGGAAAACCCGTCTTTTACCGAATTTATATCAAGACGAGTTTCTCGTCTGAGACGAGTTTCCCGTCTTAGACGGAAATCCGTCTTCTAATATGAATTCGGCTACTTAGGCGAGGTCCCAAAGGTGTCCGCTTAATAGGGGTTCGACTGTATATACTGTTCTCCCTGAAGACCCAGTAAGGATCGTCTCTTATTAATCGATATCCAGTTACTATGGGAGGAAACCTTAACTGAATTAACGGTTATTTATACTGGATAGCTCTATTAGTTTAAAACTTTTCTCCCTAAAGTTTCAGCAAGGATTATCTTTTATTGATCCAGTGTTACCACGACAGGAAACAGTTATTCCTTGAGGTCCTGTTGTAATTATTATTTCTTACTATTCCAAGGTTACGTCTAGATGTAGCTAGATTAACTCATTTACTTTTACTAGATAGTTCTATATCAATTTGAAACGCTAACTTCTACAATTTTTATCCCTTAATCAGGGAAAGATATGCAGTTCTGGTATATTTCTATATTTCCAAAGATTTCTTCTCATGTTCAACTCATAGACGAAATTGTCATTCTTTATTAACATAAATAAGGTATAAATTTATGCAAAATTCGTTTGCAGCTGCAACCCAATGTGCTCCATATATATCTGGAGCGAATCGATTCTACTTTAAAATAAACCTGAAAATACAAACAGAACTTCGACGCTTCGAGCGGAGGCCCTACGCTACCTTCCAGAGGAAGGACCTTCGCTGGAAACTCCGAACTTCTGCTTATAATTAGGTAGTTGTAAATCTCTCAGTCCGCAGCTGTTATCGTCGACAGATCCAGTGGCGTAACTGGCGAGTGTCAAGTGATGGGGAAATGGGCACGCCTGGGGGGGGGGGAGCTCGGCAAAAATGGCCATAAAAAGTTTGATTGTACAGTAGTTATTAAATTGCATGAATTCTCTCATTACAAATATTCTCACAATAGGCCTTCCTCCAGCTGATTGGCTTATAATTTTGCGATAAACAATGCAGCCTATTCTTTAGTGGGGGTAGGGGAAGACCCGGGGACGGCCGATTGGCAGGGGCCTTCCGAGGTAGCATTATGCCATTGACAATACCTACACTGGCCAAGTGAATTGATATTACGAAAGTTGAACATTACTTCAGATCTAGTTGATGTTATGAATAAGCCGTAAATCTAGTATATTGTATCAAGTAGCAGGAAATCAAGAGCCTAAATTTCGGCATAATAGCGACTCGTTGTCGTTTTGTTTTTTGCGTGATCGTAATACCTCTGCCTCCGATCGGTTTTATATTTCTCCATTCTTTGCGATTCCTTAATTGGATCATCGCAGCAATCCTGCCATCTCATTGTCTCTGAATTCCCGATGTTTTGAGAAAGCTGCCATTTTCCTGTTGCACAATTTGTTGT